CATGGTGGCCCTGATCGGAACTGGTCTAGCCCCCCATACAACGGTGGTTGTCCAATAGGTCTTTTGGATTCGGATTGGTTAACACTGACCAGCCCCTCAAGACCCTGATCACTGGGTGCTACGAAGCCCGCTTTTTGTCATATCCCAAAAGGAGACCAACAGAAAATGCCAGTATTCCCAGGCCCGAGATATAACGCCCAGATCAGTGTGTTAGAGGTGCCATGCTGTTGTGTAATGGTATTTGTGATGATTTGCGGCGTTTGCATTTGTCCAGTGTATTTTTGCTTTGGACGGGATTACCCTGTTTTCCACAGATCCCATCACCGGAGGTGTTTTTTGACGCTCTTGGCCGCCTCGGTTGGGCCTGGGGTCATCGAGCGCACAGGGGAATTCAACCTACTTGCGGTGAACAGCGGTCGAATTCGTCAGAGGGGTGCAGGAGAGAGAAGGATTCAACCTACTTCCGTATGGGTGTGCCCGAAACACTTGTCAGAGAGTTGGTTTGGGAAAGGGGGGTTAATGGAACCTGCGCAAAATTGAGAACTGTTCCTGCCACTTCGTTGGGCTGTATTTTTTTGGTGTGGGTGCCAATCAATTTTTAGGCACGAGATCATCTTGAGGGAAGAGGGAAGCTATCACTTTTTGGGGTCACCCTCACATACCCGTTTAGCCTTGTCCAAATCCATGGCAAGCTTTCTTCGACAACCCTGGGAAGACAACTGTGAGAGCTATCCTCATGGTTCAATGAGGCCCTCCACTAGCCCAAGCCACTATGCTTAGCAAACTGTACGTAGTGGCGATATGAATTATGAGCCTCATATTACTTGGAGAAATCGCTCCCTGGGTTCCTGGACTCGGTCCCATTGTAGTGATACAGAAAAGGTTGTTGTCTTTCTTGGCCCATTCCGCCCTGGAAGTGAAGAAATATAGTGGCAGAGCCGTCGTGGAAGCCCTTTTTGGATCTCACTGCGGTTTTGGGATGCGAGAGTGGCTCAAGCACATCTCAGCAGAAACTACCACACAAACACACCACCCCTCAAACGCACCCATCCCAGTTTTGGTCTATTTCCGGCTTTTTTGTGATTCCCAGGAGCGAAAATTTGAGGTTCCCAGATATGCGACCCAGGAGGAGCTGGGAGAGTGGGGAGAGAGGGAAGTGGCTATTCCCCAACAGCACGCGTCAGTGGGTCTGGTGTCCTTGCGGCGCGTCAGTGGCCTGGTGTGGCCTGTGCCTTCGTTATCCGGTGTCTTCGCCGGTTGCCTTCGTTGGTGCCCCTTTCACTGCGTTGTCTCAAGCCAGGCAACCGCTTTTCGCATGGCTTTAGAAAGAAACCAGCAGGAAGCAACCATTTCACGTCTAGTTCAATATAGATCCACATGCACCTTATCAATTTAGCTCTTGACTCCAAGTGGGCAGGAAGTCAAACCAGCCCTGTCCTGTTTTGACAGGCCAAGCCGCAAGTATTCGCCTTGTTTGACAAGTGTTTTTGGAACAAGCGTTGGATGAACACTGTACCCCCAGTTGGTGATTGGATCACCTTCTGGCGGAACGCCCCCAAATCATCAATCCACCAGGTGGGTGGTTTGGAATTCTGGAACCGCGGCATACGATGCGTATGGATCATCCTGGGATTGCACTCGGAGCCAAGTGCCAAGCGCGGGGGGCTCTCAAGCACAACTAGCACCACCTTAGACCCCATGATCTGCCCGTGCGAGCGAATCCGCCGACTCGGGGGTAAAACAACCGATCAGCCATGTGGGTCCTTAAGCTGTACCACTGCTTGTTCGGAGACTCCTTTGGCAAGCTACCAAGCATGTCTTTTCCGTCTGCTTGCTTGTTCAGATTGATTGACACTGTGCAGTCGCTCGGGACTTCTTGTTCAGTTTGGCATGCACATCCATTAGGAGGGCGTGTTTGTTCTACACTCGCCCATGATACCCCTTGCCGGTAACACGAAAATAATACATCATCAAGGGGGCCTTCATGATTCTAAGTTAAGCTTTGGTTCCGGACCCGGAGATCACAAGACGTTTTCGGCCACGTTGACCATCTAAGGAGCGTCTGCTTCAAACACACCTTGTTTTGGCCCCATGCGCTGGAAGCACTTTCGGACAACAGCAGCTCTGTTCCGCGGCAATTTCGGATAGAGCGGACCATGCTCATCGATGATCCTAGTCAAGAAGTAACTCATGGGATTCCTTTGATTAGCATGGTCCGCTGGATTAGCTTACAATGACCCCTACACTCACAGACAAGACAATTGCACAGATTTCGCCTAATAGTGTTGGACAGGGTGCCATTCTGTGCAGAAGCGACGCACTGTCAATGCGACCTACCAGCGTATGTGCGCAAATGCGCTTCAGCAAGCATGGACCACACAAACCCCCTCAAGCACTAACGATTTTGGGACCTTCATAAGCTCTCGGGAAGTGCCTTGAGTTTGGTTGGTCGCAGGAGCATGCCCCCTTTCGCATGGAGAGTCAAGCCTTGTTTGCCTTGCAAGAGGCAGCAGATGCTCGGCAGCGGGGAGGGGGGTGGGCCTTCATATGCGTTCAGGAGCTTGGCAAGCCATCCCACCCAAGACACCCCCGTCCATTCAGTATCTTCACACCCCTTTAAAAGCAGCCGTCCAACCACAAGGAATCCTCCATCGACCAACTAGGAGCCCCTCCAACATAAACATGGAACGCCTCCTGGTACTTGACCAGGGGTTGATGGCTCCTGTTTTCCCAGCGGTTGCTACTGGAAATGCAGCTTTGGAGATCTCATCCGGATGCCAAGGGCATTTTGTTGAAGACCTTGATGGGTCTCAGTCGCAAGACCGTGTTGTGGTTTGTCAGTGCGAAGTTGGCATGGCTTTGGGGAGCCCTTTTTGTGGGCTTCAAGGCGAACGAACTGGCAAACCCGGGGAATGTTCACCGGAAAGCCACACAAGACAACCTGACAGTGTTCGTTTTCCCGGGGGAACGGCACCAGAAGGTCCTTGATTGGACCTGACAGGGGTTACAAGTACTACCAATCAGGGGGATATCCCTTTGCCCTCCTTTAAAAAGTCCCGTTACGATGAACCACTACAAAGGGCGCCCCTTTTTTCCCGCCGCGACTGTTTGTCCGGGAATCTGATAACATCGCACGTTTCGGCGGCTCCGGAAATCGAGCGAAGAACGAGGGTCACGTGCGGCATCTCATTAGTTTCCACGAATTCTGACAGTGTCGCAGCTTTTCGTTGACTGATTCGAAAAGTGTCACACCTTCAAATTTGGATTCTTCCTGAACGCATGCGAAACTTGGCCCAGGTGGCAAAAGGACAATCTAGAACTTACAGGCAATCCAGTCTTCAGTGGTTACCTAGGCTGGACCCCTTATTCAGCTTTTCGACCCGGAAACTGTTCAGTTTTAGGTGTGGCTCGAAAGGGTGCCGGCAAGTCTGCCAGCTGTTTGTGAGCCGGGCCCCTTGAGCAAGCCAGGGCAGATCTTGCTTACGAGCCTTTCGACACGAGAGCAAGAGAGAGAAACACATGGATGTTGCAGTAGTCTTGAAGAAGACCAAGCAAAAGAAAGAAGAAGGTACTCTCAACAGAGAAGCACCCCCATAAAGTGGCCTCAAATCTAAAAATCAGCTCAACGCCGTGTTTGGTTTTTGAGCGTGGCGGAGGAAACCCGAATGAACAATCACTGTGGATGGACGGAATCCTGCACCGCGTTGAAACCACGGGAAAGCATCTAAAAAGTGACGCCGTGTTTGTTTTTGAGCGTCGCGAAGGAAACCCGAATGAACAACCACTGCGGATGGACGGAATCCTGCACCACGTTGAAACCATGGGACACCATTGTTGGTTGGCATTTACAGGGGAATCATCATTCCAGGGTTTCTCAGTTGGTGGAAATGGGGTTTGTCCATCCACAGTACTAGTGGCCATTCGAATCCCGCTCTTAGCTGCTCTTGGGGATTGGGCGTCTTTGGGGGGCCCTTCCGGAACCAGATGACTGGAACTTCGCCCAAGTCCAAGACGGAAGACACATCAGACGGAAACATCAATCCCAAGGGTGCGATCCCAGGGATCTACCGTGATAGGAAAATCATATCTCACACTGTGGATGGCTCGAATCGGTTGTTGCCGGAGCAACAACGTTCGCCGTGCTTCTACTTAGCGGCCCAACGGTTTCCATTGAGCAGTGCCACAGGTCCATTCACCCCGCCTAAGGCTACACTCATCGGGTCTAGGAAGGTTCTTAGGTTCCTGTTAGGTTCTGGTACTCTGAAAATGGGAATTGATTTCTGGACACCAACACATTGGCGAGGTTTCCTGTGGCCTGAAAAAACACCACCCTGAAAAACGACACACCCTTATCTTCTCCGACACTTCCTGGTAGTTCTTAGAGAGTCTCAAGGCCTTAATGAAGATCACATCGCAAGTGTGGTGGTTCCCCTATTTTGACACATCCACATGAACACGTTCAACTCCCTGAGGTCCAGCATCAGGCCAATCCCCTGCCACCAAACTGCACAGACCCTTTTCGTTTTAGGGCCGTTGCTAAGTTCTACGTTGTGCAGGGCCGAGCTCAGGAGCATTATCTCACGGGCCTCATGGAGGATGGCAACCTCTGCGCCATCCACAACAAGAGGGTCACCCTCATGACCAAGGAGAGAACCCATCGCTCGGCAGAAAACGAAGAAGAAAAAAACGGCGAGCCGGGGGCAAAGCTGAGGGACGACATATATATATATATATATGTTGATGGCATCTCAAAGCGTTTGGCCTTCAGGGCTTTAGCATTTGGCCACTTGTAGCAACGGTCCCAACAGGTTCACACTTCCGTTTGGGGCTTGGATTGGTTTTGAGGAGGGGGAAGGGCCCAAAGGTCAAGTTGGAAGCAACCCCAAGTGAGCGGCTGAAATAGAAATTTGTCGCAAGGAGCAGAAGATCTGCTTGCGATTGCCCAGCTTCCATGAAGCCTTCAAGAGGGGAAGCAGCCAGGCTGCTGACGTTGCAAGAGCTTGGGGGCTGATTGAAGAGTTTCATTTACGTGGCGGCCTTTCACTCTAAACACCTAAGGAACTGGACGATTCGCTGGGAACACCCAGGGCAATTTGTAGAGTACGTTCTGTCGGAAAAGCCGACAGTCTCCAGTTTACCCTTCTTACACGGTTGAAAAGCTCGCTCCTAATTGGGACTTGTCCACTTTGACAAGGAGCACCCTCACAATATATGGTGGACGCAATCCAATCGTCTCCCAACGTCCGATGGGTCCAGCCCATCAAAATCTATACCCAGCTTCACTCGAAGAGACTCTTAGGTCGGACGCCTTAAAGAGTTCCCAGTCTGTGTTGCTTTGCACTTTTCCCCGTTCCTATTCGGCAAGAACCTGGGACAAATCCAGGTTTTGCCCCTGTTTCCCTTTCCCTCCCCAAAAAGAAATCCCTTTCCCCCCCCCCTCCCCCTTCCCAAAAGGGGGACAACCTCCCCCTCCTTTCCGGATCGCGGCATGGGAACGGAGCGCGAGGACTTGGAGATCGTCTCGCGGCTGCGCCACAGGAAGATCTGAGAGGCGCGCTGAGCTAGCGGCGCGCGCTGCGCTAGCGGCGCCGCGCGGCGCGGCTCTTGGAAGGGAACGCCACATCTGGGATTGCTGCGGGGTATTCCTGGTAGGGTTTGTATGAAACCAAACAAAGACCATGTTTTCGTGGTTGGCTGGGGTCAGTATTCAGCAAAAACTCCAAATGTGAACCCCCCGCCCTCATTTTTCACAAAGGAAAGCAGGTGACCGGAAAGCACAATCCGAGACCATTCTGTTTATCGGATGGGGGGTAACTTCAAAAGGTGCTGTGATTGTTTAGAACTTGGTGATGTTTGAACATCTCATGCGTCCTGTCCAGGGTAAAGTGGGCGTTGTTTTTTGAGGGAACTTGCGGAGGGCGGGTTCCCTTTGGTCCCAGAAGAGCTGAGTTCGATCGCTTTCATTGCATGAGGCCCAAGCTGGGTATGTGGGTGTGTCTTATTTTGATTGTACCCTTGTTTTGGGGGTGTGGTTTAACGGACAACCAAAGGGAAGCCACCATTTTGCTGGGTCCTTCAACTTCAACGGACAGACCCGTGTCTTCTTTCATGTTGGTGCTTGTGTTGCAGCTTTAGAAGGAAAAAGACGTTGAGTTGCTTCACACCGCACCACCCCAACCGAACGCGACGCAACCAACCGAAACCCAAAACAATGCCAAACTAGCTTCTTCAAAACCGAATCCCCTACGGATTCCGCGATTTACCGGTTGGATTATGTGGCTTGTGGTTGCACGGATTTCCCATTCCAACGTATGGTTTTGACCCAAAATTGCCAAACAAAAGACGGGGCAGCTGTCTTTTTCTGCTGTTGGTCGCCAAGGGAACATGTTTTTATTCCCCAACAGCTGAAAGCTTTGGGGTCTCAGCCCAGATAGGCTCCGGGGTGGTTCGGGGCGACCCTGAGCTAAGGTTCCAGCAGGGTTCCACCAGGGGTTCCACCAGGGTTCCACCAGGGTTCCACCCACCAGGTTCTGCAAGGGCGGGGTGGTCTGGGGTGGTTTGAGGTAAGGTTCCACGAGGGTTCCACCAGGTTCCACCAATTTCTTCGAGGGCTGCGGGTTTCACGAGGGTTCCGCCAGGGTTCCACCAGGGTTCCAGGCTGCGGGGTGGTCTGGGTGGCTTGAGGTAAGGTTCCACGAGGGTTCCACCAGGGCTGCAGGGTAATCCGGGGTGGTTTGAGGTAAGGTTCCACGAGGGTTCCACCAGGGTTCCAGCAATTTCTTCGAGGGCTGGGGTGGTCTGGTTTGAGGAAGGTGCCACGAGGGTTCCACCAGATTCACCAGAATGCTGCCAGGGTTTCACCAGGTTCTGCGAGGGCTGCAGGGTGGTGCGAGGTGGTTTGAGGTAAGGTTCCACGAGGGTTCCACCAGGTTTCCACCAGGGTTCCACCAGCCTGTCGTGCTCCGGACGAGGGTTCCACCAGGGTTCCACGTGCGGCGTGGTCCGGGGAAGGTTCCACGAGGGTTCCACCAGGGTTTCACCAGGGTTTCACCAGGGTTCCACCAGCGGTCCGGGCTGGTTTGAGGTAATGTTCCATGAGAATTCCACCAGAATTCCACCAGGTTTTGCAAGGTAAGGTTCCATTCCAGCAGGGTCCCACGAGGTTCTGCGAGGGCTGCGGGGTGGTCCGGGGTGGGGTTGTATGAGGGTTTCAGGGTTCCACAAGATTCTGCGAGGGCTGTGGGCCCTGAGGTTTCACAGGGTTCCACAAAGCTCTGCAAGGATTCCACACGGGTTCCACAAGGCTCCACAATGCTCCACCAAGGGTGTGTCGTGCGCCCGTCGTCTGAAAAGCCATCGGATCAAGATCGCTTTGGGCGGAACACTAAGCAAAACCGAAATCAATGGTTTTTAGCACACTTTCACTGTTTTGTGACTTGCTCACTTGCTCAGGCAAATGTTGGCTTTGTGGCAAATCAGATCACGTCGCTGCGGAACTCACGGTGCAGCAGAGTAAATGCTTGGCATTGCTGCTTGGTGGGCTTTGGGTTCCAAGAATTCCACGAGGCTGCGAGGGCTATGAGGTCAGAAGGTTTCCACCAAATTCTGCAAAAGCTATGGGGCAGCCCTGAGGAAAGGTTCCCGCAAAGTTTCACGCTGAGCTCCACGAAAGTTGCGTGAGAACGGTTTGCGAGGTTCACCGGGCCCAGCCGGGGCCCGATTGCACTGTCGGGGCCCGCCTTGCACCGTTTGGGCCCGATCGGCCCCGATTGCGCCATCGCGCCCCAATCGGGGCCCGACTGAAGTCGGGCCACCAAGCTGGCATCGCCTAGTTTTGCTTTTGATACGATTGCAATCCGCATGCTAAGGAAAACCGGCGTTGAGCTATAATATGGGTGGCTGGGGTTGCACCACGGGTGCACCACGGGACGATCGGGCCCCGATTGCACCGTCGGGCCCCGATCGGGCCCCGATTGCGCCGTCGGCACCGATCGGGCCCCGATTGGCCCCGATCAGGGCGAGATTGCGCTGTCACTCGTAGCTTTGCTTTACAAGGCGGCATCCTCAGCAACACCGGCGGTAAGGATGGTCCCGGGGCGTTCCGCGAGGATTCTGGGAGGGTGTGGTGCTGTTGGGGATATGCAAAGGCTTGTCGCCTATATATTCCTCATACAAGCTACTACCCCCTCGCCAATCACAAAGGGAACTATGGTTGGGGCACGTCCATGGGCACTCTTCCCTTGACTAGGAAACAATGTCCGAGATCTTTGGATCCTGGCTGGCTTCCAGCCAGCGGAAAGCATGCGGACTTGCCTTCCCTTGGTTGACGTTGGGTTTGGGGAGCAAAAATCCAAATCTTAGCAGTTAAGCGGGGATTTCCTACTAAATCACAATAAGCAAAAATGTAAAATGTTTCCCAACCAAAAAAATAAGCTCGGGCGATATTTCCATATCTACAGATGTGTGGGGCACGCGCTTTGCGGCCTAGTCATTTCCCTTGACCTAGGGGCCCCTGCATGCGTCGCTTGTGGGCGGGTGATCAGTTTCGCCGCTTACTAAAGCTCGCAAAATATCTCGGTCTTTGGATGGAAGCAGCTGAGCTTCCCTTTTGCTGAGTGTTTTCCTTGCTGCGCCAAAGCTGCCGATTTCAGCAGAGCCTTCAAAGTATTATCAAGCCTTGTGGGTCGATTTGGTTGAAACACGGTGTGCTTTGAGCGACTCATGTGCTTGTTCCAGGATTGAATGGCCCGGGCCCTACTCCCCGGCTAGTGACTGAGGCCGAAATGAAGCTTGGTCAAACTTACAGTTAGTCGATGGTTCACTTGGGAGGGATGGGGAGATGAAGCTGATATTCCCACCAAAGCCCGCAGACCACCAAATGTTCTAAGTCCTCTATTGGGAACGGGCACGTAACTTTGCCCGTGGCTCATATGAACCTTCATGCCGGTCAGGGCGGAAGTCAATGTGGCTTGGTTTCACTGAAGCAGAACCAAAAAAGCCGAGTGGCCGTTGTAGGTGGTTCTACTTCCACGCTTTTGGGCCATCGCAAGGCCTGGACAAACCTTCATCACCATGTTGAAGCAAAAGTCAGCTCGGCCACTCGCTGCTCAACTTGCTTAAGGAAAATGCTATTGTGACTTGTGAGTGGTACATTCTGTCCTTTGGTAGCACCTGCCAATGGAATAGGCTGAGCAGTTGGCCCCTGGTCCAACTCCTAGGGATGTGGTTTCAACAGCGGTTTCAACACCCCAGAAGGAAATTCAAAGGATTTTGCGGAAACAATAGTGAGTGAAATACGGGTTGGCCCAGCCCTGGACCACTGGACCCTGGTTCTTTGTGAGGGTGGCGTTGCCAAAGACAAAGAAGTTCACCCCAGGCGCAAGATCTTCACCTCCCAATTTTTTGTGTGAACTCAGGGCCGCCAAGGCATCCCAAGCTGTCGCAAGAGGGGTACCCCTCAGAAGGTAGTGTACTATAGCCTGAGGCCAGCAGTCTCAGCAAAGCAAGGGATCGCAAAAAAGGGCGATCCTCGATATGTACAGAACCATTCGCGCGGGAATCGGAAAAGGATTTGCATTTGGCCGGCTGCGTGCGCATGTTGTAGATCACTCGGGGGGTTGGCTATTACGTGTAACCACGGTGGATTTTTGTTGGATGTTTCAAGTTGGCCGACTTAAAAGCACCTTCTTCCCTAGTTGCAGAGATGAAGTAAATTCAGCCCCCGAGACCGTCCCAAACAGAACAGAGAGCAGGTTTTGCCACGGCACACGCGACATGCGGTCTGCCCGCTATGGCGACGCCACTTTGGGCTGTTGTCCGCACGCTATTCGTGAAACGCCCTGCCCCTCCAACAATGTAGCTTCCCTCTTCAACTCACTCCCTGAGTTAGTGGACTGCATACTTGTTGACAAGATCATTTGTGCGGTACACAAACAAAGTTGAGTTCTGTGGCCAACCCACCCAGGAAGTGAGTCAAATGCCCAAACTAGTTTGGCGGCATCTATTCCGCCAGTTCGTCACCGCACCCTTTGGCGCCTCCAAATGAGTTGAATCAGCTTCGGCGTTCCTATGATGGGAACCGAAGAGGGCACCGTGTTTCGAAGAATCATGGTTCCTCATTGGAGGGTTAACTTCCTCTATTCAGCCCCTTGTGCATGCGAATATTCCATCAATTATAGACTCGCATTCACCGCGGCATCACGAAACGGCACAAAAGACGCTGAGTTCTGAGTAGCGGTTGGCAAGTGCTGGCTGATACATGTTGAACTTTTGCAGATTGCCAAGCTTGCCCAGATGCCAAGTGAGCACCAGGTCATGTGCTGTCCCTGAACCTGTTGGATTTCATTGCACGATTTGGGGGGATGTCTTCTCAGCAAGTTGTCACTTCACGAGGCAAACCCCCGCAGGGTTGGTTGAGTGCCAAATTGTCTGAAACCTGGTTCATAGCACTGCTTCACTTCCCCTGAGCACCGATAGAGGATGGGTCATATTGACGGTTTTGATTTTTCCTGAGTCCCTTCTGTGCCACCCAGGAAACCGCCAGAGTTTGGCCCGTAAGGACAACCAAAAGCAGGAGCAGTCTGTTTAGCCAAAAGTGGCTCATCCGGTCGGCCCGTTCGCGCAAAACCTTTGGCATTGGCTCAAGAGGCCGACTCGATGGGAAAAGGAGAGGTGAAAGCACCTCAGACTGAGTTCTTTATGGTTCTTCTCGGTTTACGTTTGGGCTTCAAGCACCTCCGAAGTTTTTGAAGCACTCAAAGGCACACTGCCAACGCCCAGCATGTTTCCTGGGCCATTCGGAAGATATTGTTTGCAGCGGCTTCAGCTGCGTGGCTTGTTTTTGCTGTATGGGTATGGCAGACAAAATTCATATGTTTTCAAGCATGAGCAAGCGGAAGCGTTCAGCCAGCCCGACCTTCCCACACTTCGGCAGATTGCTTTTCTTCCGGTGGATTCTTCCGGACATCCATGACTTACTCCGAATCCGAGCTGTTTTTTGGCGCGAGACCCTGAGACGACCAAGTCCAACAAGTTGAGCCGCTGACTCCAGGGAGTTACTAAAGGTTGAAACCTCCGGAATGACCACATTATTTCGTGTTTCTTTTCGTCATAAGGGGTCGAAGAGTCCAAAGGAAAGCAGTTGCATTCTTAGGTTTTTTGTCATAGTGGGCTTTCTATCCGAAAGGAAAACAGTACCTGGTTTCTCTTAGGGAAAGGCGGATGAGCGATGACCCGGTGGAGATCTTGCACCTCACCTGGGCCGCGGTTCTCAGCACCGCCGCCACGGCCGGGGATGAGCCGAGCTCGTGTCGAGTCGATCGAGGTGAATGGATGGGGTTGGTTGGAATGAACCGTTTTGGGATGCCTCCCTTAAGGGAAACCGTTTTGGGAGGCCCCCCGTTTAAGCTTTGAGGGAAAGAAACTATTGGATGGTTCAGAGTGGGGTCATCCACGCATTGGTTGAGAATCTGTGAGCTTTTTAGGTGTTTGTTTCCGCTTTCTTTCTTTTTTTGGGGGGGGAGTAGCTGGCCAATTCGATTATAATTCAGAAGTGAATAATCGCACAGCGATGCGCAGATACCTGCCTTCCTGGAGTGATGCTTGATTTTCTCAGTTGTAGAGGGAGATGGCCTTGGACGCTGAATGCACTGCCCTGTATTGCCGTGCCTGACCAAACAAGGTGTCTCTCTTTGCAGGTTTTCAGGTTGCATCTTGTTTGTGTGTGTGTATATGATTGTTTGATGTTTATGTTATTGTTGTTTATTGTCTTTTTTGCTTTTATTTGTTTGGGGGGAAAGTGTAAAGTTAACCTCCACATGTTCCCTCTCACCCTTAGGAGTGCTGAGCATTTCAGCCAACCACAGCGCCAAGGGCCCCCGGTCCGTTGGCCCGCTTCGCCCAAAACCTCGGGCGTCGCCCAGTCGTCGCCAGGTCCCACTGGACGCGGAGGGTCTCTTCTTCGGCCGGGGCCGAGTGATCGAAGCCTTCCGCCTCCTGGGCCGCGCGGGCACAGCCACGGAAGCGGAAGCGGAAAGGGATGCCGAGGGCCCGGGAAAGGTCGGCCTGTCGAAAAGCGCGGAACTCGTGGTGCAGGACGGGTTTGGGGAGGAAGGTAAGAATGATGAGGATATGATTTGGGATGTGTGGGAGGTTGGACGTGGAGACTTGGGTGTATGGCTTGTGGGTTTGGTGAGGGGGTGCGCACTTCGGGGGTGTGAGTTGCGTTCCGTGTTGTATCATGGCCTTTGGTCATTGCAAGGCCCTGGGTGTGATTAGCGGACAGTATCACCAGGGTATGGGGCCCCTATCCAAAACTAATCCCCTGATCTTGTCATGTTTGAGGGCCTGCCGTTTTTCCTTGGCTTTGGAGATGGCTTCCTGTGCCAAACAAAGGGCGCCATTGAAATGCAGGTTGCTCCCTATAGCCCATCGGATCGGACCTATCGCGTTTCCGCTTGGTGTTTGCAATCCACATCTCCCTTGCCATGAGGAGCAACGGCAGTTAGACCAGCGGCTGCTGGGCTGGTGCTCTATGCATGCGGCCGGGCCCCCGGCATCTTGGCCAGCACCCTAGTACCCCGCTTCACACTGGGACCCCGGTTTTTGGACTTACAGGTTTTGGATTTCTTGGTTGTGCCATGTTGTGCCCAGTCTTCGGGTTCCTTGGCTTTTTGGGCTTTTCTGGTGTGGTGTTTCCATTCAACCCACAAGTTCAACTTGCAGGGATCTGAGCACAGGCCAGGTTTGGTTGACTTCTGAAGCAGGGGGGCTACCAAGAATGGTCCGCGTTTTCGTTGCTTTTTCCCCTTTGCTTTTTGGTGGACCCTTCAACGTTGGGAAGCCATTGGGTTGTCCATTCCACCTTCGAAAAGTTGGATTCCTCGCTGGGAAACCGGGCCTGCTGAGACGCAGTGGACTAAATGCTTGGCCTCCTTGGACATACCGGGCAAAAGGAAGCAATGTGACTCGTCACAATTGAAATGGCTTGAACAGCTCAAATTTGACCCCTGAGCAATGTAGCGAGGGCGCCCATTGCCCCCCGAAAAGTGTCGAAACTCGCGTTGTCCCCTCAAACATTTTTAGCAAGCTCCTGCTTGAAATTCATTTTAGGAGTCGTCGCTGATCACATCATTCACAGCTTGTGGGACAACCCAAGTGGAAGCCTAAGCGGCATGGATTGCGGGGAGGGTCGGCATGTTGCCACATGTGATGTTTGTGTGCCTAGGAATTCATTGCACGTGGCATTTAGACAATTGTCACCCAACCTCGGAAGGGGCGGAGTGTATGTGGAACAGTGCCGTCTAAAAAGCCAACTGGCAAAATGCGCACTTCAAACAAGTGGAAACTGTGGCTGAAACTCAGGGCACTTTCATGATTGTGGCAAAAGGGAAGTGAATCAGCAACCTGGTGAATCTGACGGGCATGCGTGCTCTTATTTTAGGCGCTGAACCTTGGTGGTTGATCACATTTCATGCATTTCAAGGTCTGCATCGGAATGCGAAGCCTCTCTTGGGATGGCTTCAAGGAAAGCCATGCGGAAGCATTGCGGGTCTTTTCACAGGCATGCCTCGCTAAGAACGCCTGTACCAGCCCTTGGCCCTCAAAGACTCTTAGAGGCTTGCAGCTTCTCGGCGACCATGGAACATGTGGTTTTCCGAGCTGGGATTTTGAACTAGGCTTTTGAAGACATGATTCGGCGATTCATGTCCGCTGCTTTTCAGGGTATCCCCCTCTGGTGGTGTCCCAACCCCATAAAAGCTGAGGTTTCCCAGAGCCGGCACCCAAGGGGTTTCTGCTAGGAGGCTCGGTATCCCTGGTTGGTTTAAGGGGAATCAAAGGGCTCCCCCTCCCAGGCTCCTCCCATTTTGAGACATACCATTTTTTTCTGAAACCTCATGTGGGTCACAGAGCTCTCAACGGAGCCAACTCAACCCATGTGAGGATCGAGGGCGGAAAGACCTCGTCATCATCGTCATTTTGCCACGTTTGAGACACACCAGATGTGTTTGTTCTGTTAGTTTGTTTGTGAGTGTTTTCCGCAGTTGTGTGTGGGTATTTGCCATGGGGTAACCTAAACGATAGCGTTTGGTTCTGACATTCCTCGAAATTGAACTGCCCCAACCTCGCGTTGAACACCCTTGCATGTTGAACCAGCCGAGCCTCCACAAGTTCAAAGCTTAAGTTTCCTTCCAATCGGCGGTGCGTATTGGTGGTTTGGAGGTCAGGGAGTGTTTTTTTCCATAGCACCTGTCTACAAGAACCAGGGGTTCAAATCCAACTCCAAGCCACAAAGCCGCCAACTAGGGGCCATCTGACAAACATTAAACACCTCTAAGAACCCGGGGCTTCAAACCGGAAAGCCCCACCCACCCACCCAACCAACCCCGTGGCCACCGCCCAGCTCCGTGGATTCGTCGCTTCGTGTAGGGCGACCTCACCTTCTCAGAGAGGCGGCTGCACCGGGCCTTGGCTTCCCAGGAAGTGGTGGGCTGCCGTCGCCAGACTGAGCTTACCGAAGGTCATCACCCGTGGGTCTTGTGCTGTTCTTTTTGGGGGGTGTGGCTTTCTATAATATGTTTTTTTGCTGGTATTTGTTGTGCCTTGTTTGTGGCTTTCCACATGTGTGCTCACTTTTTGGTTGGTTCTTTGCGTTTGTTTGTATTTGGCTACCTGTTTGGTGGTTTTTTGGGACAGCCAACTTTGAGAATTTTGTAGCTCACCTTTTAGTAGCTCTTTGGGGTTTCTTTCTTTTACCAGCAGCTCCCAACGGGAGTTACTCACCAAGTGGAAGAAAGATCTGATTTGAAGATCCCTAAATGTCTCATCTTCACCACCCAGACGCTCCCGAGTGTTTAATGTGGCGCCTCACACATCCAGGTTTTGAGACCCCAACACCCCTTTTTGGGGTGTTGTTGTCGTGTTGTTCTTGGGTTGGGTGGGCTGTTGGGCTGGGCAGTTGTTGAGTTGACTCGCCGTTCGTTTTGGGTATGGAGGGTCTGG